GACATGGAACAACAGACTGGTTCCAAATATGGAAAGGAGTACATCAAGGCTGTATATTGTCACCCTGCTTATTTAACTTATATGCAGAGTACATCATGAGAAACGCTGGGCTGGAGGAAGCACAAGCTGGAACCAAGATTGCCAGGAGAAATATCAATAACGTCAGATATGCAGATGACACCACCCTTATGGCAGAAAGTGAAGAAGAACTAAAGAGCCTCTTGATGAATGTGAAAGAGGAGAGTGAAAAAGTTGGCTTAAAGCTCAACATTCAGAAAACTAAGATCATGGCATCCGGTCCCATTACTTCATGGCAAATAGATGGGGTAACAGTGGAAACAGTGGTGACTTTATTATTTTGGGCTCCAAAATCACTGCAGATGGTGACTGCAGCCATAAAATTAAAAGATGCTTACTCCTTGAAAGGATAGTTATGACCAACCTAGATAGCATATTGAAAAGCAGAGACATTACTTTGTCAACAAAGGTCTGTCTAGTCAAGGCTATGGTTTTTCCAGTGGTCATGTATGGATGTAAGAGTCAGACTATAAAGAAAGCTTAGTGCCGAAGAATTGATGCTTTCGAAATGTGGTGTTGGAGAAGACTCTTGAGAGTCCCTTGGACCACAAGGAGATCCAACCAGTCCATCCTAAAGGAGATCAGTCCTGGGTGTTCACTGGAAGGACTTATGTTGAAACTGAAACTCCAATACTTTGGCCACCTGATGTGAAGGGCTGACTCATTTGAAAAGACCCTGATGCTGGGAAAGGTTGAGGGTAGGAGGAGAAGGGGACGACAGAGGATGAGATGGTTGGATGGCATCACTGACTCAATGGACGTGGGTTTGGGTGAACTCCAGGAGTTGGTGATGGACAGGGAGGCCTGGCGTGCTGCGGTTCATGGGGTCGCAAAGTGTTGGACACGACTGAGTGACTGAACTGAAAGCTATTTGAAATAGTAATTTTATGTATGTTCTAATAATTAAAAGCAAGCCTTGTATTCTATATGCTTTTCCATTTATTTTCATCAAAATTTGCTTGTTTTACAAAATAATTGGCCTATGAAGGATTGAGCATTTTAAAAAAATGGTCTTTCCCCATAGACAGCCTCAGAAACAATGGTCTTCAGTGCAGTCACAGGAATGAATGACTAAGCTAGGGTGGAAGTCAAAATCACAGGAGGTGAGAGGCAAGAAGCATGGGGGCATCATCCAGTCAATGTTGAAATCATGAAGAATGGTGTCATACATAGAATGGAGGTGTTTGATATCAGTGGGAGCCTTACTTGTGTTTAGCACCCTTGAGAAGCTTGCAGTGATGGGGGAGGGTGGAGGCAATACTAAGATTCCTTAAGATCATGGTATCTGCTATTTCCCAAAGAAAATAACATCCAGATACAACAAAGACCCCATGATGTGCTACAACTAAGACCCAACACAGCCAAATAAATTAATTTTAAAAAAGAAAATAGAATCTAAATTAGCATGAAGCTTGCAAAACCTTGTCTCCAGTCATCACTCAGGCCAGCCTCCTGTGATTTCTCTGGGCTGCTCTGTTCCCAGGACAGCCAGCCAAGTACCTGACTTCTGTCTGGGGCTTGCCAAACAGAAAGCCAATGGGTGCAATCCTCGCTGGGTCCCAGTGGCAGGCTGAGAGTGTGTAGCATGCCTTCACTCTCATATGAGGAGGTACCCAGAGTCTTCAGAAATACAAAGCCTAATGCCTCCCAATTGCGAGTTTAGGAGACAAGACTGATGATGGAGATGTGGAATGGGACATCTGGCTCTGCATATATGAGGTCACCCTCAGGCAGCAGTTTCTGATTTGGATACAGTGGCACATGGCTACTGTGGGTCCAAACAGGGGCCATAGGCACTGAGGGGCAGGAGTGGGGGTAGGAGGGAGAGATACCTATATTGAAGTATTCCCTGAGTAGAAGAGGGCAGGGCCTGAATCTTTGGGGTCCCCATCTTGAGACAGTCACTGAAACACACAAAACCTAGTCAGACATTTATTGGGGTGGTGGAGCCAGTTCTCCACCCTATAGTATTCTCTTAGATTGATAGGATTTCAATATGGAACTCTGGCTGGTTGAAAGCACCTCCATATTGTGCCTGTGAAACATTGCTGGTCTGAAAGGTGAAGCAGCTCTTTGGAGCCTGTAGTATGCATACAGCGTTGCACACCTGGCAGTAACGTTGATGGCACTGCCACATGCGAACCCAAGACTGGAGCTTGACTGCTGCCTGCTCCTGGATTATATAGATCTTCAATGAGATCTGCCGTCGCATATACAACTTCCTCCACAGGACTGTTCTCCACCAGCACTGAATCATCCAGGCCCTGAGGGCGGCTGCCAGCAGGGTCCTACGCACCAGGGTTCCACGCCACCAGGCCTGGATCTTCCCAGCCGCCTTCATCCTTGCTATCTGGCGTTGTTTTGCAAGAAGCAACTAACCAAGCAAAGCAGAAGACTCCTAGTGAATTTGTCACCATCAACCACAGCTGTGGTGTCTGCCACAAAGGACCTCTGATTGTCTCTGAACAATCAGCCTTTTCCCTGGTGGTTCTGAGGGCCCAGGAACCTTGGGTGGGGTTCTGGCTCTACCTCTGTCTTGTCTATGCCCACAAACACATCTGCTTACCCTCTGAGTCACAGTGTCTTTGTCTATATAAAATGAGGATATGCTTGCCCTGTGGTCTTCACAGGTTCATGGAATCAGTGGAAACACTTTCTGATCCAGAAGACCAGACATGGATGTAAGGAACCAAAGGGTCCTCATGAGGATTAAACTCTGAACTTATAGCTTGCATTTCAGCCCAGATTCCAGCCTGTGATGCTACCTCCTGATGCCTTACACCATCACGCCCCCCTCGTAGCTTCCTCCACCTCATTTCTTTTGACTTCCACTACTCTTTCCTGGTGACTCAGATGGCAAAGAATCTGCCTGAAATGCGGGAGACTGGCTTGGATCCCTGTCAGGAAGATCCCCTGGAGAATGGAATGGCAATCCACTCCAGTATTCTTACATGGAGAATCCCATAGACAGAGGAGACTGAGGGCTACAGTCCATGGGGTTGCAAAGAGTCGAATACAGCTGAGCAACTAACACTTTCACTATCTCTCAACCACTCTCATATCCTTCTGGGCCCAGGATGCCCTTTCTCCAGCTCTCTAGTTTTCACTGAGGTGTGTCTCACCTTCCATGTGGCCTGTCAGTATCCTGATTCCTCGCTTCTCTACTGTCTCTCTCCTTCCCTCACCCAGAATATGGAGGGAATATACCAGGACAGGAAGGCACCACTGAGCTGATTCCTGTGAGACTAGAGATGAAGCCTTTACTTTCAGGGATCCTGGGGTCAGAAGGCCAATGGTCTGAGGTTCCCGCATGCTCCTGGGCCACACCTACCTTCCTTTTCCTCTCTTTCTCTAGATCATCATTATCTGGTTCAGGCTTCTGCAATCAGAACATAGGGAGAAAGCATCAGTGAGGACCAGTCTCTGTGCAAAGTTCCCAAAGCCCCAGCTCCCTGTTCTTTTCCAGGGTCCTTGAAGTCATCTAGTGCTTCCCTTGGCCATGGGGCAACTCCCCACTCTTGGGGAAGGGAGTGTCTAAGTCTTACACAACATTTACTGCCCATGGTTTTGGGGTAGTGGTTGAGGTGTTCATATCCCTCTCTGGTCGCTGCTCCATTGGTCTTGGCAGAGGCAGGAAGGATGGTAGATGAGGAGATAGCCATGATGTCACAAGGGCAACTATGACCCAAGGACCACGTTGCCTTCTCCAGGCTCAAACTTGTTGTATAAAGTGGAAACACCTGCATTTCCCTCCTGCTAGGGATGCACCAGGGTCTTTGGTAGAACCACATCCCCTGAGAGTGTGTCTTGTCCCAAGAATGATCTCTGGTTTTGTCCACCCACAAAATCATCCTGTCCTCAGCTACTGAGCAGAGCAGCTCACATAATGCAGAGGAAGGTGCATAGGCTCAGGCTGCTCTCCACACCCTCCCATTTTCTGTGCAATGGTGCCCTTCTTCAACAGGTGAGAAAGTCCCTCCTCTAATGGGGAAGAGTGTGGGTATGGATGGTGAGCAGAAGGGGCCCAGGAAGGTTTGGGATGGGTGCAGCTCAGTCAATTTCTGCTCCCTCTTTCCAGCTGCTGTCCTTCTATAGCTGTTGAGTTGCACTTAGCAGGCCAATGTTATATTCCTTATAACAAAAGAAGCCCTTTCATCCTGTCTGAAATATAGTGGGCAGGAGGAATTTCCCAAATGATCATTACCTAGGAGACAGGCAATATCTCAGACTCCTCCTGTAGTGGCAGTGGTCATTTAAAGTTAATTAGGTATTCAGACTTGCTTCAAAAGCCATCAGTTTTCTGACTGTCTCCACAGTCACTTCCCAGCTATGTTCACACTCTCTCTCTCCAGGTCTCAGTTAACAGGCTGACATGGCCTCTTCATTTCAAAGTATTATCTATAAACTTTCCACCAAAGAAGATGATTTAGTTTTTCTGCCCCATTCCAAACAACCCCACATTTTCCTCTCCTCATTTTCCCTATGAGGTTATTTGCAACTTAGGTCCGATCATGACTTAGTGTTTACGTTATCATGACAAGAGAGTGCTACTGACAGCCATACCATGAAGTACACTCTTGATTCCCTTTCTCTTCCCATGCAGCTTCATAGAAACTCTTTTTATTATGAAAATGTTTATATATATATAATTTGATAACAGTGACTCTATATGTACTCATGACCCAGAATAATCTGTTTTTATCCTCTGAATTAATTTTTAAGTGACCTCCAAGGATTCTCTACAACAGACAATGCTGCAAGGAGCATCTTCCTATCACTCTGCAGCTGTGGGAGGCATTCTCCAGGGTCACACACAGGGTGGCTTGCTGTCATAGAACAGGTGGCTCCTCCACACCACAAAATCCTTACAAACTGCTCTCCACAGTGGAAGATCCGATCTAACTTCTGTCAATTATTAATTTTCCTTAAACTGAAAATGCAAAGTGGTGTCACCTTGCTGTTTTACTTTGCATTTCTCTTGACTAGAGACTTGTGTGAGACAGTCTGTGAGACTTCTCTGAGACACGGTGTGACTCAAGGGTAAGTATCTGGGTTCCAGTCTTGATATAGATTCTTTCTGGCTGTGTGAACTTGAGGCAGGAGATAGGTGGGCTCCAGGCTGAGCAGCTGAAGTTTGTCCCCTGTGGAGAGATACTCCCAAGATGAAGATAATAGCAGGAGCAAGAGAGGAGCTGAGCCCTGCCTAGACAAAAGATAAAGAGACCACATATTTCTCATTCTAGAGGTCAAAGAGATCTTTCTGACTACACATGAGCAGAAAGGCTTCTTGGGGGCCAGAAAGGGAGGAGGTGCCACCCTAGTAGATGATGTCAACCTATCCTTGGCCTCTTCACTAGAATCCATCTTGGCTAAGAGATGCACGCACACACATGGGAGGACCCTGAGTTAAACCAAATAGACTCAGCCAGGCAAGAGCAAGATGACTGGCTAGAAGAAACCTGTAAGAAATGCCCCATATAAGTGATTCAAACTACCATGAGGACAGGACTCTTTCTGAGCCCGCCTAAGCAATTCTATTCACTTGTATTTTGTCCTTCTAATAAACATTTTACTTGTTTCACTACTTTCTGTGGAAATTTCTTCATGGAAATTCACCTTCTACAAAGCTGACAGGCTAGGGCCTTGTCACTGGCCACTAGCTTTTAATACTTATAAAAATCTTATTAGTCAGATCATAGAGCAACCCTCTAATTTTTCAATATTTTCTACATTATCTTTCAACTCTGTCTTTTCTGTGTTACTTTTGAGAAGACTTTTTCCATTTTTTTAAGAGTCAACTTTCAGGAGCTCTTTCCTGTTCTCTGAATAGTCTTTAAATGGCACACCATTTTAAAAAATTAATTAATTTTAATTGGAGGCTAATTACTTTGCAACATTGTGGTGGTTTTTGCCATACATTGACATGAATCAGCCATGGGTATACATGTGTCCCACCATCCTGAACCCCTGCCACCTTCCTCTCCACCCCATCGCTCTGGGTTGTCCCAGAGCACCAGCTTTGTGCTCTGCTTCATGCACTGAACTTGCACTGGTCATCTGTTTTACATATGATAATATACATGTTTCAATGCTTTTCTCTCATATCGTCCCACTCTCACCTTCTCCCACATGGTCCCAAAGTCTGTTCTTTACATTTGTGTCTCTTGCTGTCGTGCATATAGGGTCGTTGTTCCCATCTTTCTAAATTCCATATATATGCATTAATATACTATATTGGTGTTTCTCTCTCTGGCTTGCTTCACTCTGTATAACAGGCTCTAGTTTCATCCATCTCATTAGAACTGACTCAAATGCATTCTTTTTTATAGCTGAGTAATATTCCATTGTGTATATGTACCACAACTTCCTTATCCATTCGTCTACCAGTGGACACCTAGGTTGCTTCCATGTCCTAGCTATTGTAAACAGTGCTGCAAAGAATGTTGGGGTACATGTGTCTCTTTCAATTATGGCTTCCTTGGTGTTATGCCCAGCAGTGGGATTGCTGGGTCATATGGCAGTTCTATTTCCGGTTTTTAAAGGAATTTCCACACTGTTCTCCATAGTGGCTGTACTAGTTTGCATTCCCACCAACAGTGTAAGAAGGTTTCCTTTTCTCCACACCCTCTCCAGCATTTATTGTTTGTAGACTTTTTGATGGAAGCCATTCTGACCGGCGTGAGATGGTACCTTGTTGTGGTTTTGATTTGTATTTCTCTGATAATGAGTGATGTTGAGCATCTTTTCACATGTTTGTTAGTCATCTGTATGTCTTCTTTGGAGAAATGCCTGTTTAGTTCTTTGGTCCATTTTTTGATTGGGTCATTTATTTTTATGGTATTGAGCTGCATGAGCTACTTGTATAGTTTGGAGATTAATTCTTGTCAGTTGCTTTATTTGCTATTATTTTCTCCCATTCTGAAGGCTGGCATATCATTCTTATTTCACTGATTTATCATCTCTTATCAGTCTAGAAAATTAGTTATAGTTGTTAGCTTGGGTTTTTTTTTTAACCTTTTTCTTCTGTTCCCAGTATTGGCTCTATTTCTTTTAAGCCCTTTTTCCTGTTTGTGTTTTTGTCTTAGTCTTTCATGTAAGCAGCTTTATGAAAATATCAATGATTTATGTTAAGTTGCCTATTTATGTATAAAAGGAGAATGCTACTCAGTGTCCATGGTGGGGCTTAGGATGCCATGCAGTAAGGGCTAATAAGGCAGAGTTGGGTTTCATTTCAAACATCAGTACTCATTGGTTTTATCCTTTGGAAGCTGTGGTAGATTGCCTTAGAGGCCTCTTAGAGGCCTTATATTCACACCTTTTGCTATGGGACTTTGAAGTTTCTTTGCATAAGGGAATGGAATCTGTCCTCCTGTGTGTTGGGTCTGGCTATGTGACTTGCTTTGGCCAGTAGAATAAAGGCAGCATGACATGAAAGTTTGACTTTGGCTTTGAAATGTTTTGTCCATTAATGTTTGTCATTTCATATTTCTGCCATTGCCAAGACAAGAAAATGCCTAGGTAGCTTGCTGGTATGAGGATAAGGATGAGAAATGTGGAGCAGAGCTTCCCCAGTCAAACCACCCCAGTTGAATGCAGCCTAGATCAACATGCTTTACTGTTGCATTCAACTGAGGTTTGTGGCCGTTTGCTATTCAAGCAACAATAATGGACTGATTCCCCAGAGAAGAATCACAAACTTTGAGTCAGAGGGTAGGAAATGAAAGCTGACTGCAGGCCTTTAGGTAGCTGAGTTGGCACAGAGGGCTTGAGGTTCCACTATTCAGCCTACACACTTCCAATCAATCCCTCCATGTTAGTATGGCACTTCACCTCTGCTTTCAGCAGTGCATGAAATCCTTGAGTTTGGATGTTCTTTGCTTTAAATTATCCAGAAAATAAAACTCTCTCCTACTAGGGCAGAAGAGGGGCTATCACCAAATGATACACATGAAGGAGGGGAATGGCATAAAGGGGAAATTCTACAAATCCTTAAATAAATGTTTACTCCTCACCTTAGACTCTTAACAGCTGGTGCGTCAACTTCACAGTATGTTATTATTACAAGTTTATAATGTATTTTATGTGACTGATCATTTTTCCAGTCTCTTTTTCTGTGCATATTTATTTATTCTTCAAAATGATACTTTTTCCTCAGTTTGGCAATTTCCCAAAAACTTCTAATGAGATTTTTATTGGAACTGAGGTTAATTTACAGATTAACTTAGAGATAATTGACAACTTTACAACTCAAAGTCATATTATCAATGACTTATTTTTTCTATTTATTTAGATCTTCTTTTATATCCTTCTGAGCTGTGCACAAAAGCAGCATATGTAAATTCAAGGATATGCCCTTAAAGAGAAGTAGCATGCCTTTCTCCTTCTCTTTCATCTTTACTGACTAGATTGCAGATCTAATTATGGATCTTGAAGTTGCCATTTTGGATCATGAAGTGACCTTGGGATGAGAGGCCATATATAGCAGAGTAACAGATTGTAAGGGAAAAAGATTTCTTACCTTGTGGGTACTGTACCAGGCTTGGAACACCTGTTTGTAAACTTAAACCTCTTTTTGTTTAAACCACCATTACTTTAGTTCTGCTTTCATTTACAGCCACCACATAGTTAAACTCTACCCCAGTGATATGGGGGTATGACGGGTTGGGCCCAACAATCTGCTTTAATGAGACTCTCCATGTCATTGGGACCATTGGTAAAGTTTGAAAAACATTGCCCTATTTCCTGTAGATCCAGCATACATAAAAGGATCTCTTCATGGTAAGATGACCCACTTTCTTTAGAAGGTAGAGCTCAGAAGTTATTCTTGAGTGAAGGCTGACATACACATGCTTTGCCTAAGTGGAGTAGAGGGCAAGAGTAGAGGACATGACCAGTTCATTTATTCCTCATGCAGTTGTTTCAGGAATGAATGATGATTGCCTATGGCTTTGTTCTGCTGACTAGCTGAACTAGGCAAAGGATAAAATTTCACATCTGGCTCTCAGGTGACCAATCCATGATTAGATTCACACTCAGACCATTCAAATTCTATATGAGGCAACATGAGCAAAGCACTGAGATGGGAAGCTGCTGGATTTAGTTGATATTAACAGAGCCACCAGGGAAGGTATTGAGAGAGTGAGATGGCCAAGGCCAGGCTGTGTGGGCTTCTGTTGTCCCCAGGCAGGTGGGGGGGGCGGCGCTTTGGGAATTGGTCTAAATTGAATGGAAATGCTCTAGGATTGACAGAAATAACACTGTTAAAATGGCCATGCTACCCAAAGCAAACCACAGATTTAATGGATTTTTACAGAACTGAGCCACCAGGGAAGCCCAGATTTAACTTACCCATGTAATTTTTCACAGAACTGGAACATATAATCCTAAAATTTATATGGAACCATAAAAGACTGAGGATTTCCAAAGAAATCCTGAGGAAAAATAACAAAGCAGGAAGCATAACCCTGCCAGACTTCAGAAAATACTACAAAGCTACAGTAATCCAAACAACATGGTATTGGCCAGAAACAGACTTATGGATCAAGAGAACCAAACAGATAGCCCATGATCAATCAATCACCTATGGTCAATTAATCTTCAACAAAGGAGGTGAGAATACATGATGGGGAAAAGACAGTCTCTTCAGCAAGTCCTGTTGGGAAGTTGTACAGCCCCATGTAAATTAATGAAGTTAGAATACACCCTCACACCTACACACACAAAAAACCCTACAAATGGCTTAAAGACTTAAATATAAGACAAGACACCATAAAACTCCTAGAGTGGAATATAGGCAAAATATTCTCCAACATAAATCATATCAAGGTTTTCTTCAGTCAGTCTCCTAAGGCAACAGAAGTAAAAGCAAAAATAAGCAAAAGGGACCTAATCATCTACAAGCTTTTGCACAGCAAAGGAAACCACTGACAAAATGAAAACAGAAAACTATAGACCACACTATGAAGGAGTTTCCCTGGAATTGGCTGACTTGGAAGCCCTGCAACCCCATCTCTCCTACTCATGGCAGCCACTGCTAATTAATCACAGACCCCACCCATCCAGCCCCCGGCTCTTAGAATCCTCCTTCAAATGGGATCCCAGATAACCTCAAAGCTGACCTGTGAGATGCCCAATATCTGCCATCATTTACTTTGACCCTTCACTGAGACAGAACCTCCTGAAGCTTGTCTGACAGAGACCTTGTGACACAGTGTTGGACCCGACCTGATCAGTTCTTTATTGGGAAGGGGATGCAGTCCGTAATCCGACAGATGTGTGATCCCAGAAAGATCTCAAGCTCAAGTCCTAGCTGTCTTGCTGTGAGTTCATAGCTACCCCTAAAGAAGCCACGGGTATGGCAATTATGCCAGCGCCAGTAGACTTGGATGATGCGGACGGCATGGAGCAAACGGCAGTAACGAAGACGGACGCGCCACATGCGAACCCAGGACTGTAGCCTGACCACTGCCCATTTTTCCCGAGCATAATACTGCAGCATAGCCCGTCGTTTCTTCTCCAGCAGCTCTGCCAGCTTCTGTTTCCACCAGTACTGAATGATACATGCTCTGAGAGCCGCATGCAGTAGCGTCCTACGCACCAGGGTGCCCCGCCACCAGGCCTGGATTTTTATTGCTTGTAGCTCATTGTTTGTAACCACCTTTGGGGGTGGTTTTGGCTTTTCCACTGGGGGCGGCGGCTACAAGGAAAAAGAAGGGACACTCAGAAAATGTTACCAACCCACCTCAGCCCTGGCATGAGCTAGGAAGGGGTCTTGATACTTCGTCAACAATGGTCAATTCCTCAGTAGTTCCTGAGCACTGAGCAGGCCACTGGCTAGAGCCAGAAGACCAGACAGATGCCCTGTCTCCACCATTCTTGGTTTAACAGACACATCACAGCTGGACATGGAGTCTCACAGTCCTCATATGTTGCTTGGGGGCACACCTGCCCTAGCTGTCACCTGGTTCCTTGGGCTTATTCAGCCAGTCTAGAACAAGAACACCATGATTTATGGGTCAATGGGTTATTCTGTTGCACCCTGGGCCTGATACCTACCTGGGAAGCATATCACTTCCCTTCAGACCGCACCCACAGGCTAGAGAAGGGGCATCCTTTGCTCTCCTTTCATGACTGACACCAGCTCCAATGCACAACCTGCTGGTTTCTCTGTCAAATCATGGAACTAGATATTTGCTGTCCCACATAGTTTGGAGCCCTGCTCATTTATTTCTCACTTTCACTTCTTTTGGTTCTCACATCTTGAACTTCAGTTAACTCATATATATGCACTCATGTAAACACACAGACACTCCCACACAATTCTAGACTTGGGTTTCTAACACCCAGTTGTGGATGTGACTGGTGATGAAAGTAAAGTCTGATGCTGTAAAGAACAATATTGCATAGGAACCTAGAATGTTTGGTCCATGAATCAAAGAAAATTGGAAGTGATCAAACAGGAGATAGCAAGGGTGAACACTGACATTATAGGAATCAGTGAACTAAATGGACTGGAATGTGTGAATTTAATTCAGATGACCATTATATCTATTGTGGGCAAGAATCCCTTAGAAGAAATGAGTAGCCCTCATAGTCAACAAAAGGGTCCAAAATGCAGTACTTGGGTGCAATCTCAAAAATGACAGAATGATCTCTGTTCATTTCCAAGGCAAACCATTCAATATCATGGTAATCCAAGTCTATGCCTCAACCACTAATGCCGATGAAGCTGAAGTTGAACGGTTATATGATGACCTATAAGACCTTCTAGAACGAACACCCAAAAAAGATGTCCTTTTCATCATAGGGGACTGGAATGCAAAAGTAGGAAGTCAAGAGATACCTGGAGTAAAAGGCAAGTTTGACCTTGGAGTACAAAATGAAGCAGGGCAAAGGCTGACAGAATTTTGCCAAGAAAAAGCACTGGTCATAGCAAGCACTCTCTTCCAACAGCACATGAGAAGACTCTACACATGGACATCACCAGATGGTCAATACAGAAATCAGATTGATTATATTCTTTGCAGCCAAAGATGGAGAAGCTATATACAGTCAGCAAAANAAAGCTAGTGTAGGTGATGGAATTCCAGTTGAACTATTTAAAATCTTAAAAGATGATACTGTGAAAGTGCTGCAGTCAATATGTCAGCAAATTTGGAAAACTCAGCAGTGGCCACAGGACTGGAAAAGGTCAGTTTTCATTCTAATCCCAAAGAAGGGAAATGCCAAAGAATGTTCAAACTACTGCACAGTTGCACTCATCTCACACGCTAGCAAAGTAATGCTCAAAATTCTCCAAGCCAGGTTTCAACAGTACGTGAAACCGAGAACTTTCAGATGTTCAAGCTGGATTTAGAAAAGGCAGAGGAACCAGAGATCAGATTGCCAACATCTGTCTGATCATAGAAAAAGCAAGAGAATCCCAGAAAACAATTACTTCTGCTTTACTGACTATGCCAAAGCCTTTGACTGTGTGGATCACAACAAACTGTGGAACATTCTTAAAGAGATGGGGAATACCAGATCCCCTTGCCTGCCTCCTGAGAAATTTTTATGCAGATCAAGAAGCAACTGCTAGAATCAGACACAAACAATGGACTGGTTTCAAATTGAGCAACTTTCACTTCCATTGTACATGAAAGGAGTACATGAAGGCTGTAAATTGTCACCCTGCTATTTAACTTCCATGCAGAGTACATCATGCGAAATGCTGGGCTGGATGAAGCATAAGCTGGAATCAGGATTGCCAGGAAAATATCAATAACCTCAGATATGCAGATGACACCACCCTTATGACAGAAAGCAAACAGGAACTGAAGAGCCTCTTGATGAAAATGGAAGAAGAGAGTGAAAAAGCTGGCTTAAAATTCAGCCTTCAGAAAACTAAGATCATGTCATCCGGTCCCATAAGATCATGTCATCCGGTCCCATCACTTCATGGCAAATAGATGGGGAACAATGGAAACAGACTTTTTTCTTGGGCTCCAAAATCACTGCAGATTGTGACTGTAGCCATGAAATTAGAAGACACTTACTCCAAAGAAAAGCTATGACCAATCTAGACAGCATATTAAAAAGCAGAGACATTACTTTGCCGACAAAGGTCCTTCTAGTCAAAGCTATATGCTTTTTCCAGTAGTAATGCATGGACGTGAGAATGAAAGAGAAGGTTGCTCAGTCGTGTCTGACTCTTTGCGACCCCATGGACTATTCAATCCATGGAATTCTCCAGGCCAGAATACTGGAATGGGTAGCCTTTCCCTTCTCCAGATCTTCCCAACCCAGGGATCAAATCCAGATTTCCCGCATCACAGGCAGATTCTGAGCCACAAGGGTGACAAATTCCCTGATCATCCCATGCTATGGGCCACAGAGAAAGACAACTGTTACCCCTGGGTGACTTTAGTTAGACACATTGCAGGTTTGGGTCCCCTTCAACTTTGAGAACCTCTGTTGGCCTACCTCTGGTTTTTTTTTCTCCTTTTTCTTCTGCGCTTCATGTAGTAATGTGGTTTCATCAACGTCTTCTATTATAATTTGACAAACGTGGCCATCCTTCTGTAATCAGAGTTTAGAGGGGAAAGATAAGAGTAGGTTGCTCTCTGTAAATTCAGTTCTGACTCTACCACATGCTCAACCTCTTGCCTTGCCCAGAGACCCTACAAGTAGGACTGGTATCCTTAACAACTGTGAAATCCACCTTTCCCTGCCTGCAACTTTGGGGAGATTGGCTCTCTCTCTTACACAACATCGAATGCCCATGACTTGGAAATAGATGGTTCAAATCTCTCAGGTCTGTGATCCCTTAAATTTCCCATAGTTAGGAGCTAGATGGTTCCATTGCTCTCAGGTCTGTACTCTTCCAGCCACATCTCAGGCAGGAAGAAGGAAGGGAAGACAGAAATGATGTCATAAGGGCACCTATGACTCAGGCATCAGAATGGTTCCCAACCATTGAGCCCTTTTTGTGAAAACATGTAAGTTCTGTCCATTCTTAATGCTATAAATGGTCAAAATTTGGCTAAAATGGCAGGATACTGAAAATATTGGCCCATTGGTGCACAAAGCTGTACAAAGTTCATCATTTCATGCCTGTTGATAAAAACATACATTTGAGAAAATTTAAATATTCATCAATAGGGAATTCAATTGCATGGATTTCAGTTCAATCAAACAATGGAAGCAAATAATATACAGAAAGAATGAGTCTGGAGCAAAATTTTAAGTGTTTTATAAAAGGAGATGTACTATGGCTAAGACACACATGAAATGATGCCCAGTATCATTATTCATGATGGAAATAAATTTAGAACCATAATGAGATTTTTTTAGACACTCTAGAGAATGGCTAAAGTGAAAGACAGTGACAATCAAACATTGATAAAGAATGTACAGTAGTTGAATCTCTTATATACTGTTGGTGGTTATGAATAAAACAGTATAAATACTATGGAAAATGGTTTGGCAGTTTCTAATATATTTAAACATATCTCCACTCTATAACTCAGCAATTCCACTCCCAGGTATTTACACAAGAAAAATGAAAACATGTTGTCTACAAAAGATTTGTGCAAGAATGTTCATAGCAAGTTTATTCAAATAGGTCAAAATTGGAAACAATTTAAATGTTTACCAAAACTGACTAGAGAAAGCAACTTTAGTTTATTTATATAATGAAATACACAGTGTTAAAAGTGAACAAATCACTGAAACACACAATAACATAGGTGAATCTCAAAAACATGCTAAATGAAAGAAGCCAGACATAAACTATTTACAGGATGATCCATTTATTCAAAATTTTAAAACAAGCAAACTTAAATTGTAGGTGAAATGATTCCAAATAAAGATTATACCTAGAGTTATAAGATGTATTGCTTGCAAACAACACACACATACACACACACACACAAAAAAAACAAAGAAAAATGTGCTCTGTCTTATTCTCAGTGGTGCTTACTGGGGAATACAGAATTGTGAAAACTTACCCAAATCATCTACTAAGAAGTGCTTAAGGGGAAAGATCAAGATGGCAGAAGAGTAGGATGTAGAGTTCACCTTCTCCCCACAGATACATCAAAAATACATCTACATGTGGAACAGCTCTTATAGAACATCTACTAAACACTGACAGAAGACCTCAGACCTCCAAAAAGGGCAAGAAAATCTCCACATAACTGCATCGGACAAAAGAAAAAAGAAGAAAAGAGAAAGGAATCTAGACAGGATCTGTACCCTTGGGAGGGGGTTGTGAAAGCGGAAAGATTTTCAAACACCCCTAAGTCCCCCTTACTAGCAGGGGGATCAGCCATGACAGAGGAGCTTTGGAGCCTCAGGGGAGAGGGTGGCAACAGGTTTGCAGAGAGCAAAGCAGAGAGAAACTCACATAGACCATCAGTGCTGACAGGGGGTGTGCAGGTACATAGCCCACATGCATGTTTCCAGGAAGGCAGGGCAGTGGTTGGCTCCTGGTCTCAGGTCCCTTGGCAGAGGTGGCTGACCACTCTTACCACAGGGGATAATGGCCAGCACACACTGAGGAGAGACCATAAGCATCCAAACCAAAACTAGCCCTCTCCCATTCTGAAGGGTTTGCACCCCAATGTTCATCACAGCACTGTTTATAATAGCCAGGACATAGAAGCAACCTAGATGCCCATCAGCAGACGAATGGATAAAGGAGCTATGGTACATATACACAATGGAATATTACTCAGCCATTAAAAAGAATTCTTTTGAATCAGTTCTAATGAGATGGATGAAACTGGAGCCCATTATACAGAGTGAAGTAAGCCAGAAAGATAAACACCAATACAGTATACTAACACATATATATGGAATTTTAAAAGATGGTAAAGATAAACCTATATGCAAAACAGAAAAAGAGACACAGATGTACAGAACAGACTTTTGGACTCTGTGGGAGAAGGCGAGGGTGGGATGATCTGAGAGAACAGCACTGAAACAAGTATACTATCAAGAGTGAAAGAGATCACCAGCCCAGGTTGGATGCATGAGACAAGTGCTCAGGGCTGGTGCACTGGGATGACCCAGAAGGATGGGATGGGGAGGGAGGCGGGAGGGGGGATCGGGATGGGGAACACATGTAAATCCATGGCTGATTCATGTCAATGTATGGCAAAAACCACTACAATATTGTAAAGTAATTAGCCTCCAACTAATAAAAATAAATGGAAAAAAAAAAAACTAGCCCTCTGCCAAAAAAAAAAAAAATTAAATTAAATTTAATTGCAGGGACACTCCTACATATAAACAGCCCTTCAAGAGTACAGTAGAGGTTTTTGAGGTTTTGATATAGCAATGTATATACATACAAGGTTGTTTTAAACTGCTGATTTCTTTCTTGCCTAGAAGAGTTCCTTTAGCATTTGTTGAAAAGCTGGTTTGGTGGTACTGAATTCTCTTAGCTTTTCCTGGTCTATAAAGCTTTTAATTTCTCTGTCAAATCTGAATGGAGCCTTGCTTGGTAGAGTATTCTTGGTTGTAGGTTCTTCCCTTTCATTACTCTAATTATGCCACTCTCTTCTGGCTTGCAGTTTCTGCTGAGAAGTCAGTGGATAACCGTACAGAAGTTCCTTTGTATGTTATTTGTTATTTTTTCCCTTGTTCCTTCAAAAATTTTTTCCATTGTCTTTTAATTCCCACGTTAGGGAAGTTTTCAGCTATTATCTCTTCAAATATTTTCTCAGGTCCTTTCTCTCTCTTTTCTTCTAGGATCCCTATAATGCGACTGTTGGTGTGTTTAATGTTTTCCCTGAGGTCTCTTAGGCTGTCTTCATTCATTTTAAAAAATAATTCATTTAATTTTGGCTGTGCTTGGTCTTTATTGCTTTGGCAGGGGGGCTTTTCTCTGGTTGTGGAGAGTGGGGACTACTCTCTAGTTGCAGTGCGAGGGCTTCTCAGTGTGGTGGCTTCCCCTGTTGCAGAGCATGGGCTCGAGGGCAGTTGGGCTCCTGGTTTTAGAGCACAGGCTCAACAGTTGTAGCACAAGGGCTTAGCTGCTCTGCAGCATGTGGGATATTCCACCAGGGATCAGACCCATGTCTCCTGCAACAGCAGGCAGATTCTTTACCACTGAGCCACCAGGGAAGCCCCTAGAGGTCTCTTAAAGTATCCTCATTTTTTAAAATTCTTTTTTCATATTTGGACAACCTCTAGTGCATTTTTTCATTTCGTCATTTTGTCATCAGCTCCATTTGGTTCTTCTTTATATTTTCTCTTTGTTGAAATTCTAACTGTGGCTATCTAAATGGTCTGAGGAGGCTGGGTCCCTGGTGTTAACAGGCTAGAGAAAGGATTCCAAAATGGTGCTTACCATTGCAAGTTATTATCATAGTTGAAAGAGCTTCCCCAAATGGCTGCTGTCAGCACCTCTATCGACAAGATCCCCAGTTGCATTCTGCCCCTCCAGGAGGGTTTCCAAGATAAGCAAGTGGGTCTGACCCAAGCTCTTTTCAAGCTACCGCTTCTGTACCTGGACTTGGAATCTTTTGAGATTTTGCATTCACCCTTTCAGAGTTAAGTTTGTTTCCTATAGCCCTCTGGCTCTTCTAAAAATAAGCCCCTCTGGTTTTCAAAGCCAGATGTTCTGGAGGCTCATCTTCCCAGTGCAGGATCCCTGGGCTGCAGTCTCAGATCCCTCAGTCCTTGGGGAGGACTTCAGAAGTTGTGCTTATTCCTTCCATTTGTGGGTCACCTTCCCAAGGGTTTGTCCTGACTATATTGCATTTCTGGCCCCCTGCCCATTTTGTTGTGGTTTCCCTTTTATGTCTTTAGTTGTGCAAAAATATTTTCTACTACTCTTCAGGTCATTATCATAGATGGTTTCTCTGTAACTACTTGTAATTCTGGTGTGCCTGTAGTAGGAGGTGAATTCAAGGTTTTCTGATTCTGCTCTCTTGGCCACCACCCATCCCTCAGGTTGTAATTTTGATAGCTACATTGTTCCTCTCCAAGATCCATAAGTGGCTCTTTAAAATAATGTGTTGTTCCTTTTTTAAGGCTAAGTGGTCTTCTCTGGTCAAAAATATGAACATTGAACTTTCCTGGTGGCTCGGGTTCAATCCCTGGTTGGGGAACTTAAGATCCCATATTCCATGTGGTGTGGCAAAAAAAGTGTAATTATATATTTTTTATACTAATGTATACATTAACTTAATTCCTTTAAACTGTCTTAAATCTTCCCTTTAGTTACTGTGTTTCTCCTTGTTGGGCTTAGGGAGGTTTTTTCATGCTGTTGGTCTCCCCGAAAGCTTGATGATTCCTGGCTGGGTGTTCATCTTTGAGATTTCCTTTAATTTGCTGATGAGTGCTTAGTCCCTGATTCCACAGATTACATGGGAGGTGTGGGATAAACCGTTTGGGTGAAATGTAAGTGGGAAGACTCCTGGGAAGGAGTCTTCTTTTACAAGAATGTTACATGGTACCAGGTCGTGCCTCTTCTTTCCAGGCCAGTCAGTTCCTCCCTGAAGACGGGTCCTATCTTGCCAACTGCATGTCACAGCAGGAAAGTTGGCTGCTCCTACTACAGATATATTCCAACTAGTTCCTATGATAACGCACAGCCTCTGCTGCCCCCTGCACAAGCTCTACCTTGCAGAAACTGGATGGCCATTCTCCACTTATATATGAAATCTTTTTTAGAGCTTTGGTTCATTTTCTTTAAGTCTTTTCATATTTGCCTCTGTTCTTTAAAGTATCCATATAATTTCTGTCCACTGAAGATCTCTATTTTTTTAAGGTACTATTGGTTTAGTTGCTAAGTCGTGTCCAACTCTTGTGACCCCATGGACTGTAGCCCGCCAGGCTCCTCTGGCCATGGGATTTTCCAGGCAAGAATACAGTAGTGGGTTGCCATATCTTTCTCCAGGGGATCTTCCCAAACCAGGG